GTTAGAAAAACCCAGAATAGTTTTGAGGGGTACACAGGGGTGCCTGCAGGCAGCGTGGGGGATGGGGAAGTTCTGCTGTGTCCTCTTGCACAACACTGGATCCAAGCCTCTAGGATATAATAAATGGCCCAAGGCCACCCAAAGCTTCATACAAGGATGTGAACCCAGGTCATCAGAAGCCAGCTCAAAAAAATATGTTCTGGTTAGACTTTTAGCTTTAAGTACTCTTTGGGAAGCTGATTACAATATCCTTTTAAAGATGACCCCAAGATAAACCACTGATGGTATGCAGTAACTCACCTTTGTACCTTTCCAGATGATAAGTTGATTCCATAGCAAATGTGCAGCTTGGAGATGTTATGCATTTTGCGGCAGATTCATACTGCAATGCCCCCAACAAAGAACCTTTGTTATTGAGTGGTTTAAAATATAGTAAATAAATACCTAAAACAAGATTGTAGCTATTGATGTTAACGTGGCTTAACCTATACCACAGGCACACAACTAGCATGAAAGGTATCTAAAGAAAATTGTTATGGAGACATTCTGTAGTAGCATCTGCAGCATTAAAACTGAAATGATTTTCAAAGCTAACTACAAACAGCCAGGATGATGGTGGTGGTGATGCTGCTGCTGCTAAGGAAAAAAGAACAGAATACAACCTCTAATATTTACAACCAATGTGGAATGGTGGTTTGAGTGCTGGACTGGGGATCTGGGCTTTAGTTCCCACTTGGCCATGAAACTCTCTGGGTAACTTTGGACCAGCCACTAACTCCCAGCCAAACCTCACAGGGTTGCTGATGGGAGGATAAAATGGAACTATCCAAGTCAAAGAAGGAAAAACAGGGAAGTGCTATCTCCATCTTAACTTGCTTATAAGATTCACTGGGGCATGTGGCCACTGTGACGGAGAATACTAGGCTAGACAGCAACTTGAGGCTGGCCCACCACAACCACAACAGGCTGGCATTCCTTGTGGGCATTTCATAGCCCACACGGAATGCCAATCAAACTCAGCCAAGGTGAAGCAGATTTGTTTTTCATTCATGCATTTTAATGACATTTCTATGCTACCTTAAAATGCATATATAAAATATGAACTATTTTAAATTTATATTTTTGAAATATATGCTACTTTAAATAATAAAAGATCAAGATCTGAATAAAACTCTCATCTTATGCTGCCAGATGCTTAAGAGAAAAAGGTCTTAAAATAATGCTGTTGGCATCAAGTAGGCCTCACTGTGGAGATCAATCCATAACTGCAGGGCCAACACCAAGAAGGTCCTCTCCCTTATTGCTGCCTTCCAAGCCTTCCTTGGATGAGGCATCTGGAGGAGACCCTTAGAAGATAAGAGTGAAAGTTCGTGCTGAGAGAGGTGTTCCATCAGGTGTTCCATCAGGTACTGTAGCCCCAACCTGTGTAAGATTTTATAGGTGAAAACCAGCTCCTTGAATCAGGTTTGGAAACACAGAGGCAGTCACTGCAAGTGGTAATATTTGTTTTCAGATTTCTGCTATCACAAGCTGCAAATGTCTTCAAAGGGAACCCCACATAAAGCACATTGCACAAATCTAGCTTGGAGGTTACCAGAGCATAGACAACTGAAGCCAGGTCATCCCTGTCCAGACAGGAGTGTAGTTGGCCCACCAACCAAAGCTGGTAGATGGTACTCCATGCCATGGAGCCCACCTGAACCTCAAATGAGAAAGACGGCCCCAGAAGAACCCACAGCTATGAATTCACTCTTTCAGAGGGAGTGTAACCCCACCCAGAACAGGATGAGCATCTGCCATATAGTCAGAAGAACTACCCACTAATGGAATCTCAAGTCTTGTCTGGATTGAGTTTCAACTTATTAGCCCTCTTGTCTGGATTGAGTTTCAACTTATTAGCCCTCATCCAGTCCATTGTTGCAACCAGGCATTAATTTAGTAATTTAGTAATTTGATTTTGTGAATGGAGCCACTGGTTATTCCCTATTCCTGCTTCTGCCAGTCATCTTCTCAGTGGCCGCTCCCCACCTCTGGAATAAACTCCCAAGGGAAATTTTCCTGGCATTGTCACTATTTTCATTTCAGTGCAAGGTGAAAATATACCTTTTTAATATCCATTTTAACTGATCCCAACTCCCTTCTACCTATTTAATGTTACTGTATTATGATTATATTTGATCTTTTAAAAATTAAGGCCTTTAAAATTTTAAATTGTTTTATATTTAAAATGTATTTGTGATTTTGTAAGCCACTTAGGACTCTTTAAAAGTAATTCGCAGCATATAAATGGAAATATAAATAAATAAATAAATCTTTGCCATCCTTACATCACCTGATATGGGAACTTTTAAGTGAAGTAAAAAAAAAAAGTATTTTTTTATGATAAAGCCCTCCACAAAGTGGCATCAGAATGGCAAACTATTCCTGAGGATCTCCTTTTTAGAATCTGGAAGGGCCCAGAAGGTCATCAAGTCCAACCCCCTGCTCAATGCAGGACACCAACTTAAATCATCTTCTCTGATGGATCTTGGATCGTAACCATATCTCTGCTCATCCAACCTTTAAAAGGTACTCCCAGGCAAAATAGCAGATCAAAGGTTAGGCATAGGAGAAGTATATGCTCAAGACTCAGGCACTAGTGCCAAATCCAACCTCCTGGGGCAAATTCTGATTTCTCAGTAGGCGATGCTCTCTGGCCTCACCCTCTTTCTTCCAGCCACCAATCATTTGCTGGTTTCTCAGCTTCTCTTTCCAATTCCAAAAAGTCAAAATGCCTCCTAAGGCTTGGCAATTAGGAACTTAAAGCTACAATATGCTGAGATGTTCTGCCTTTTGAACCATATGCTTTCACCCTATCCCTTTTGCCTTTGGCCTTGCCCACTGCTGGAATGCAGCCCTAGAGAGCCTTCCTGAAATTGAATCTGGATCTGAAAAACTGTTACCCCTCTTGGGTGTTGTAGTTTCAGCAAACAGATACGCTGTAAGAATTTTCTTTGTGTATCCTGGATTCCCAAATGCAACTTTCATTGACCCTATGTTTTATAGACTCTAGGGACAGTGCTACCAAGTGACTTCTTCCTGGCAGCATTCCCAGGTAGCTCAAGTTCAGCCATTAAAGGCTTTGTCCTGCGCTGCATGTTTCTGACTTTTCTCCCCAATACAGTTTTGCCACCGAAGTATTGAGCAATGCAATTCTATCAACAGGATTCTTAAACATGAATTCATCTTCCCAAATGTTGCCAGTGCCAGTCCAAGACATTGTGCTGCCTGGGGCAAAGGAAAAGATGTCTCCACTTCCCTTTTCGACAAACAGAAGTCATCCATACTGAAAGATGATTCTTTCTCCAACATTAGCAAAATAACTACATCTGAGGATAGCAGGCTAGCTTGGGGGTAAAGAATAGGTCAAGCTGTGTCTTTGAACATTTCTTCATCTCTGAGCTGACTTCCATAGTCTGCCTAGTAATAGAGGCAACTCTGACTTTCCTGCTATCACTTCTGTTCATTTTTCAGGCTGTTAAACCTAAACTATATTATATACTATTACCTGAGAGACATGAATCAGATTAAGGGACACCTGGTTTCCTACCTTACGGATGACAGAATGCTTTTTTGCAGAGCTGGCAGAGGATGGATTTGAAAACATCCCCTATTTAAAGATGTGTCCATTTCTTCTGCCTCTGCTCTTTTTGAAAGTAAGGAACCATCAGGAAGGCCTGGGCCTTAAACTTGCCCATCAACAGTACCTGCATGGCAGACTGAGCAAGGCACACATCTTGCTTATACGTTTTCCTCCACTGTTTGTACTTTTCCTCAGTGAGATGTCCTGTATTTCTATTTTAATGCAGTAATTGTTCTAATGTCCTATACATATATTATAGAAATATGTCTCTATATGAATATGTATCTGCAAAGATTAGGCAAATTGGTCAACTACTTTTGTTCTTGTGTTGGTGATGCATACCATTTTTCTGTTTGTTTTGGCAATGTGTGAGTGCCATCGATAACTTAGGCTGTTCATGCGTGATGGTGTTCATGCACCATGATTCATTCCCAGAGAGAGAGAGCGAGAGAGCAAGCGCTAGCTTCATGCTACTTTTCTTTTTTCCTTTTCCTTACAGCAGGGGTGGACAATTTGTGGCCCTCTATATGCTCTTGGCTTGCAGCTCCCAGCATCCCTAGCCAGCACAACCAATGGCGAGGGCTGATGGGAGTTGTAGGCGACGGCAGCTAGATGGTTAGTTACCCACCTCCCGGTCTTGCAGAAAAGGATTCCTTTTTAGCGAGCGGCGTTTAGCGTGGTATATTCCCCTACCACGAACACAGCCTGCTTCCTGCAGTTCCGTTCTGCCAGGAACACTCAACTGCTCCGCTCACTCCCTTTTCCAAACTGTCCGCAAAAACTTCACAGGGGGAGGAGGAGGAGGAGGAAGAGAACAAGGAAAGAAGGGAAAACAGGGGAAGCAGAGCAGCTGCTGCACGGCCAATCCTCTTCCTCCATACCCCATCCACGAGGAAGTCTGCCCGCCCGGCCAATGAGCCCCGGCCGGTTGACGAGCACCCTACGGCAGCCAATCCCGAGAAACAAAGAGGAGCGAGGGGGAGACCAGGGGGCGTGAATATGTGTGTGCGCGCGTGTGTGTTCCTCGCTCGCTCCCTCCTTCCCGTTCAGGTGGTGGAAGGGGAGCGCCCTCGCGCCCGATGGGTCGAGAGGCGAGAGAAAGAGGGTGAGCAGCGAGCGCGTTGCGGGGCCGGCCGCAAGCGGAGAAGGCATGGACCGCGCGGGCGCGGAGGAGGAGCAGCAGCAGCAGCAGCCGCCGCGCGGGGCTCGTGCGGCGCGCGCCTGGCTGAGGAGCTCTTCTGGCTGCCGGGACGCAATTGGAACTAGCGCGCGCCGCCTCCGCGCCACCCCGACCAGCAGCCGCCGCCGCCGCCGCCGCCGCTTCCCTTCCTCCTCCCGCTCCTCCTCTCCTTCTCCTTCTTCTCCCTCGAGCTGCTGAGGCGCAGGGGAAGGCGCGCGGCTTGCCCTCTTCACCCGGTTGCCGCCTTCTTTCCGCCCTCCGCCGCCGCCTCTTGAGTGCCTTCCTCGGCTCCAGCGAAGAAAGGAAGCCGCCTTTCCGTCGGGCGGGGGCGGGGGCGGCGGCTGCTCGCTCCGCCGTCCCTCCTGCTTCTTCTGCCGCTTCTTCTTTTTTTGATCTTCCTTTCTGCGGGTGGGAGGGGAGAAGAGCCGGAGCTCCTACGAGGGAAGGCAGACGCGCGCAGCCCGCCCGCCCGCCCTGGGTGTGCGCAAAGGAGCCATGCGAGAATACAAAGTGGTCGTGCTGGGCTCGGGCGGGGTGGGCAAATCCGCGCTCACCGTGCAGTTCGTGACGGGCTCCTTCATCGAGAAGTACGACCCCACCATCGAGGACTTCTACCGCAAGGAGATCGAGGTGGACTCCTCGCCCTCGGTGCTGGAGATCCTGGACACGGCCGGCACCGAGCAGTTCGCCTCCATGCGGGACTTGTACATCAAGAACGGGCAGGGCTTCATCCTGGTCTACAGCCTGGTCAACCAGCAGAGCTTTCAGGACATCAAGCCCATGCGGGACCAGATCATCCGGGTCAAGAGGTACGAGAAGGTGCCCATGATCCTGGTGGGCAACAAGGTGGACCTCGAAGGCGAGCGGGAGGTCTCGTTCGGGGAAGGCAAAGCGCTGGCGGAGGAGTGGAGCTGCCCCTTTATGGAAACTTCAGCCAAAAACAAAGCCTCGGTGGACGAACTCTTTGCCGAGATCGTCCGGCAAATGAACTACGCCTCCCAGCCGAACGGGGACGACCAGTGCTGCTCTTCCTGCGTGATCCTCTGAAAGGAGGAGGGCCGGGGCGGGGAGAGAGACCGCGCGATCGAGGTCGCTTGCATTGCGTTTTCCTTTTTTTTTCTTTTTACAAAACAAAAAGAATCTTGAAGTAAAGGTTTACAGCCACAGCACCATACACAAAGGCGGCGCCGGCAGCAGCAGCAGCAGCAGCGTTATCATCCTGTGAATCTCGAGCTTTTGAAACATTTTGTGCGTGAGTGCGCGTGTGTGTGCGTGAGTGCGAGAAAGTGAGCGCGCGCGCGGGTTACACCCGGATTCCTGCCAGGTTACGGCTTACGCGAGTGCTGCTGCGGGTAGTTCTCGGTGTCCTGGGTCTGCATTGTCTCTCGTTCCATCTGACCAAAAGAAAACAAACCCCCTCAAAAATCTCGTTGGAAATGTGGCGCTTTCCGCATGTACATGCCATCGATTTTGAGTGTTGCTTATTTCTTGTAGTCCCTCTTTGCAGTGGGCTCTGTATTGGCAACTGATATAACCCGTAGGAGAAGTTGGTGTGTGTGTGCTCTCTTTGCAGCAGAGAGAGAGAGGAGGGGTTAGCAATTGCTGCATAACTGGAAGATTAAAACAAAAGACAAATGTGAACCTCTACAAGAAATGAAGGGAAACAGCAGAGGAAGAATGTACATGTGGAGGCAGTTAAGATCCTCCTTATTTGCCAGTCTGAACTTAGCCAGTGACTAGGGAACTCTTGAGTCTGAGGATTTCTATGCAAAGTTGGAATATTTGTTAACAAGCCTATCCCACCTGAAGAAGTATTGCACGTGTTCTGCCTGGGACTTTAATAACACTGATGCCAATACGGTGTGCAAGGTGCCAGAAAAGTGTCTGCTGATTACTTGTGAAATCTTCTATTTTGTTTACCTGCTGTACCTAAAGGGAGAGAATGGAGAGCATTTATTTGTGTGCGTTGTTGTTTTTTTAAAAAAAATCAGCTGTGAAAACATTACAGATCTGCACAATTTTTAAGTTGTGTGTCTTTTTCGGGCAGGGTTGATGTGGGTGGAGAGGAGTGGTTTGGGAGCCAGGGAGGGAGGGAGCCAGGGAGGGAGGGGCGAGGTGATGGTTTGTCTAATTCAATTGGAGGATGGTGGGAGTTGGTTTAACTGATTTTCTCACTAGCTCTATCAATTACAAAGACTTCCTAAAATGTCATGCTGGAATAACAGCAATCTTGTGTCTGTAGAGTGCCTTCAAAACAGCTGTTGCAACTCATGCCAACCTGTGGAAGTTCCAAGAATCCCATTATCTACTAATCCCCCCCCCCAAAAAAACAGAACAGTTTCAGTAATCATAAGGAACAAGCCAAAACAAAAGAGTCTATTATTTACAGAATTCATATCTTCTTTTTCATTTGAGGCTTCTTAATTTTGTTCCTGCTGCTTTCAACGTTGTTTTGGTTCAAGTTCACAGGTATTACTATGTTTGTGTTCTTTTATAGGATGTACCTTCAACTAGCAATGAAAAAATATAATGTGATGTATCTTGAACTGCAATTTTAAATGCTGGACATTCATTTAAAATATTTTAATACAATTGCCATTTTTAAAGAAAGAAAAGCTCTGTTTTTTATGTACTGTGATTGAATGTGCAATCATAGCATATGATAAGTTGTAGAGATCAAATAATTACTGGAACCATGAAGATTAAGGAGGAATTGTTGACCTGTGCAACCTGGTGAGTAAAAAATCAGTACGGTTAATATTGGTAGTTGGTACACGATGTTATTCAAATCTTGATTTTGCTAAATTATACTCATTTGTACACCTACATATCCACGTTTTAAATGGCTTGTTGAATTAGATACTCATGTATATGCAACTCCATTTTCAGCATGTTTTCTGGAAGTCCCGCTAGCTTTTATGCGTATTGCTACTGTGTACTTAGAACTGCCTTGTTTGGGGTAATAGCTTAGTTTATATCAGTCATTCAGATATTAGGAGCAAGCTGGAATTCTGAGAAAGAACCACTGATTTCAATTATACTTTAGAGGAAATGTACCTGTATTACTAATCTTAACTCATGCATAACTCCCATTGTGACCCACCATATATGTAAAACTAGGATGAAATGTATTTTTACTCAAGAGTTGCAGGGTCTTCCTGGTCAGCAGATTTATTTTGGAAATCAAAAGAGGAGCTTTGTTATAATGAATGAAAAGTGTGTCTTTATGCTGGTTTCACACATGCATGAAAATGCATGTGCTATATAATATCAGTAATAGTGGTGAAGGTTGTTCTTTTTAAGGTGCCTGGAAACCAGTTCTGGTTGCCAATTCTGGACACTTGCATTAGACAAAGGAAAAGAAGATGCTAACAGTTCTCTCAAGCAGACCCTGGAAAGAGAAGCGGTTAAGAGTAAAAAATAGTGTTTAGTTAATCAGACTGCAAAAAATATGGATTCAAATTAGGACACCAAAGGAAAAAGAGAATTGTGGAAACTTGGTCACCGGATCATTCATTTTACAGCTGATATGGTTTGAAGTGAGTTTTAACTGAGAAGCAGGAAAAAGTGCCTCATTTTTAAAGGTTCAACTTCTTTTGTTCCTCTGTATATCACATTTAGTGAATTCTTAGCTATTTTGTTAAACTGGATCATAATAGCATATTCTGCCAAACCAAATCATGTAAGTCATGAATTTTGTAATTTAAAAAAGAGTATTAAAAGAAGTTCAGTGCAAGGATAATTGCACTGAACTGAACTGCGCAGATATTGGTTCCAGGGGGCAAAATTCAGTTTGGCACTAGTGTAAACATACATTGTACTGCACTCGTGTAAGCAACCTCTAGCACAAAACCAGTAGCATTTGTTGGTGACAGATACTCTGCATAGTATTTTCTGGGATTTATATATAATTTCCAGTTAGAGTACTTTACTATTGTATAACTACAATGCTTTCCATATATGCTTCCCCCCAAACCCCCAGAAGTTTAACATTTCTCTTTCTGAGTAGGCAGCAAATTGCTAAATAGTAGCCCTATTAATTTCCCCATCTGGTCAGATAAACTCAGATAGGGAAATGATGCTATTCCTGTCTTTGAACATGGCCATTTGATTTGAAGTCCTGGGAATAGAGCTGCCCCAGTCTCTTCAGTTGGAATTTGTGTTATTAACAGAAAAATGTGGCCTTGGCTATATGCTGATAAAAATGGATAGTTTATATATTATAACTTCACAAATATTCAAATTAGGCAATGTGACCATAACCATATTTACTCAGAAGTACTGTGTGCCATGATTTATCCCAAGGTAGGGTTCCAGGCTTAGTTTTCCTATTCGTAAAAGTGAAACTGAGGACTCCACAGTATGGGCTAAAATTGCTATTTACCTCTTGGTTTAAGGCAACATTCCTTAAAAGTGGCTGAAAGAAAAACTTAATAAGCTAAATATCAAACACAGACTTTAGTTCTAGCTTTGGGTTAGATAACTGGAGACATATCTTGAAAATCATGGGTAAAGCTGAAAGTGAATTGAGGAAATGCATTCTCTTTGGCACAACTCCATACTGCAGTGCTTAGTGTACTTTTTGGAAGAAAGTTCAACTGAATTTAATTATATTGACTCTTTTGGGGGGTTTGTTTTGTTTTAAATACTCTGCTGCATTCCTTGTGCATAACAGAAAACAAGCAGACCATTGCAATGGAATACAAGTTTGGGGACTGTTCTAGTTTTGTGCTCTAGTTAAGTTATCTCTAAAAGAATCGAAATGAATAGAAGTACTGCTCTCAATGTAAAGTTCCATTTGTGTCTGCTTTCTCTTTATAGGAAAAAATGCCATGGATTTATGTCAAGAGGGTATGACAAAACTTGCATAACAGTGACAAAAGAATAATCATGGTGAATATTCTCTGAATTGTGACCTGCTTTCTGACTAGTGAAATAGGACTTGCTAACCTACCTCAAACACTAGTAGGATAAACTGCAAACTGGTTAGTCCCTTAAATGAGTGCCAGCTTTGAGTGTATGGTATATGGGACATTGTGTTCTTTGTGGTATTGGATATAGCATGTGTGTGTGTAGTATAGGCCATGCATATGGTATGTCTATGTAGCTTGGTGGCAAAATATATTCTTTGCATGTTAGAAGACCTAGATTCAGTTCCTGGCATCTCCAGATGGGGCAGAAAAACCTCCCATCCAAAAACTAGGAGAGCCAAGGGTCTTCAGTACTAAGCTAGATTAACCAATGGTCTGGGTTGGGATAAGGCATCCTAAATCATGTCCATTTGAAGGCTGTAGATGGGAAGTTTCATCCTGACCATCGTGGAGCATCTAGACATGGGACATGTCATATGGCATCAGGTTCCAGCAGCACTATATGCTAGAGGTTTCCAGTGTGGCGCCAACAGGTGTCATAACATCCATGGGACTCTCCAACTGTTCTCCACTCCCTGATCCCTTCAGAAATAATTCAGACAATGAAAAGCTCTAGAAAACATGGTAGCCTTCTTTCTCTCCCTTTCTAGCGTCTAGCCTTGCTCTTTCTCTTCCTGTTTGCCTGCGTTTCCCTCTTCTAGACTCAAGCCTCCCATTTTCTGCCAACCAGTTGAGCTCACTGTCACTTCCCTTCCTGTCCCCTAACCTTACTCTTTCTCTGTTTGCCTTCTTTTTTCCTCCCCACACTTCTCTAGCATTGCTCTTTCTCTTTAGCTCACTTACGACTACCCATGCTTTCATGAAAACCATTATGTGACTAGTCATATCCTGCATGTGAAAATATGAGCCATTTTCTAGTGGTGCCCAGAGCAGTTTTAAAATTTACAAATGTGCCCATTGGCCCAAAAAAAAAAAAAAAAAAAAAAGTTGGGGGTTTCGGACATAAAATAAGTTTTTTGTGCCTTGATATGCTTATGTTCAATGAACCAAGGCATATATCATAGAAGGTAATGTTACCAATGCCCCATGTTGCATAGAAGCCTTGAAACGCAGACAAAATAAACTGAGTTTGGCCTGGTTGTACATGTCTGGAATGGATTGTGGAGTCCATTTTGGAGTCCTTCCTGGAGTTTGAGCAGAATATAATAATTTATTCTGCCAAAACTTCTCTGTAGTGGAACAGAATTAAGTCAGTTTGTTCCCTTTTCACCAGTACTATTCCATTCCCATGGAACATGATAATTATCCCTGTAGTAGTGCTTGATTGTGCATTTGTTCCTGCCAGAGTTAACAATGCAGGTACCATACTATTAATCTAATGACAATATAATGATTGCAAGGCCTTGGAGGAGGCGGATAATAAAGAGGAAGAAGTATATAGGCTATAAGTGCCCTTGGGACTTGGATAGTGTAATACAAGGAGATGGGGGTTAACTGCTGCATCTGCTGATACAAATTTGCCAAAAACCCATTCCTTCATGGGAATTGCAGCCTTCTGCTTTAACTATATTGTTGGAAACATTTCTCCAGCCTTGCATAATGAACAGGAGAGTTAAACGCTGCCAAGAATGAAGGGATTTCAGATATAATTTGTGAAACATCCCTGGTGCTGCTCATCTGTTCACTGAGCTCTGACAGTGATGAAGTCCTTTTCTTGTTGCCCACCTTTTCCTGTTCAAACAAGTGCTGCTGCCATGCTTCAGTTCATTGTTGTGCCCTGTATCAAGGACTGAGGTCACAGAATATTGCAGCAATATCTCTTTATTGGACCTATGCATTTTGAGGTAGAAACACTCCCACACAGGCAGTTGTTCCAGAGACCTCTGTGCAATTATTTTGCAATCACTTAAAATAGGCTCTTGCAGGAGAAAGTCTGCATGGGGGGAATGGGATGAGGCAAGAGTTGAAGGGTTGTTTGTTTTTTTTTAAAGCTATAGAGGCAAGAGGGCATTTAATCAGAGATTCTCAGTCTTCCACACTGAAGGAAGCCTTTCCAAATTGCAATAAAGACTTTGGAAACCAGTGCAGAAGTTGGATGTCACTGCTTTGAAGAATCCTGTGTAGGAGGTTGCATGTGATTTTTTTTTTCTT